AGCTACTTCCATGTCATAAAGGCTTAGTCATGTCTCTTGACCAAGCAATGAGCTGGTGCCCTGACAGAGGTCTGATGTCAGACTTTTGGATGATTAGTGGTTGTTTGGCAGTCAGGTCACCCTGATAGGTTGCAGCTTTGCCCAAAGCCTTTGTGTTCGGCCTCTGCTTGATGGTGTGCCCTGCCAAGTGTATCCAATGATGGGTAGAGCATCCTGTCAAACCCACTATGACAGACCTGCACTTATTCTCCAGAAAAGATTGTTAAAAGGTTCCAAAATGTTTAAATAGCCCAATATTCATGATCCCCAAAGATCCCCTCTTTAATTTCCCTCATGCACATCATGGGAAAGGTTGCTAACAGTAGCCATCAATCACTATTAAAGGCATCAGGCAATCACTCCAGTGCATCAGCAGGCAAGGTTATTATGGTCCCAAATTCCATAATGCTGAGGATCCCTGCCAAAGCAAGTAATTTCCTCTGATGCCCCCTCTTCAGAGACAAACTTCCTACAATGCCCCTCCAGAAGCAATTGCTCTAAATGCCCCTGTGTTCTTCACATGTGCTGCATATTTGCATTGTCATTGTGGCAGTGAGAAAGAAAATGATAGTTAGATAGCTCAGGGGGTCCCACAAGTTTGGATATTACAGTACAAAACAAATTGCATAATCAAAGAGCAAAATCTATCTCAGTCATTTTGGCATATTGCTGTTATTATAACCCTCAAATAACACCTCTCCTTAGAAGTATATATTCTAATTTCTTGAGAACATCATATGTAAGTATAACTGGAAGACCCCTAAACTCCCTCATTCATCTGCCACAAAGATGATGTGCAAATATGCAGCACATGTGAAGAAGAGGGGCATTTAGGGCAATTGCCTCCGGAGGGGCATTGTAGGAACTTTGTCTCCGAAGAGGGGGCATCGGAGGAAATTACTCCTGCAGAAGCGCTCAAGTTTATCCGGGATCGCCTCCGAAACGATCATGGACGATTCAGCTTCCCTCTCCACGGACAACTTCCCTTTGCTTCACTCGTACAGCTGGCAATGAGCGGACGGCGTCTTTAATGATAAGATTTCGTGGACCTTGAATTATTATTGAAGTGCGTTCGTGCTTTTGCCCTAGCCACGACTTGAGGTCCACCTCTCACTGGTGGCAGGGCCCATACCCATGCGCTTCCACGCATCTCAACAGGCAGTACTCTTGAATCTTTGTGCATGGCTGGAACTAGAATCTTTCACGGGAACATGTCGGTTGGACCCTCGTTTGAGGCAGGCTTATGAATGAAAATGACTGCTCGATTCGCAAGCGCCTATCCCTTCACCGCATCCTGCACAACCCCATTCCCACAGATCTCGCGTTTCCAACCTGTTTTTGTCACTGGCTGGATTGTGGACGTGATATCCTCTATCAAGCCTTACTTTATGTATGAGTTTTCTCCTGCAAGATAATCCCTTGGCATGAGATGTGCTGGCACCACCGACCGATTTTCAATGCTTCTCTCACGCATTCTCGTCAATCTTCACGCCTTCGATGAATTGCCTGATCCATTGCTGGCGTAATTTTCCCGTCTTGCTCCGACTCTCTATCCCGTTCTTTCTGGTGGTGTCAGGATATTTTCACACACGTTGATCGTATAGTATGCCGCTGTCAACCTCTGTCAACCTCGAGGTCGTTGTCCTCGTACCCATTACACCTCAAGCGAGACATCAAGATGCTCGCCTTTCTCTCCGTGGCTCTGTCAACCGTCGGCGCCCTCGCCCAGTTTCCCAGTGTCTTCCCCATCAGCTCCAGCATTGTTCCCGGTCCTCCATCGGCCGTCTGCACCCGCTCGACGTACAACATCACCCTTCCCACGTACACCATTGTCCCCTTCTCGAGCAACATCGGGCCCTCTCCCAACCAGACAATTATTACAAACCTCTTCCAGACCTATGTCACCTCTCCCACGAACTTCAAAGCAGATTATCAGACACCCACGGGGCTGGCAAGCGCGAGCAACAGCGCAGGCAGCTATTTGATTAGCGGGACTCTGTGCCAGCCTCTGTTCGGGGACGAGCATGAAGGAACGGTGCAGTTGCTGGTGCATGGGATTCCTTTCGACTCGCAGTACTGGGACTTTCAGTACGATTCTGAAATGTATTCGTGCGTTCTCGCTCTTCTTCCTTCTTACACTCAGCTAACTGGAACGATACTTTTTTTCATTGTATAGGTACGTCTGGGCCGCCTCTGCTGCGGGATATACCACTTTCCGATACGATCGACTGGGAACGGGCCTGTCCGAGCACCCGATTGACGGACTCAATGTCGTCCGAGCAGATACGGACGTACAGATCCTTAGCTCGATAGCATCGCTCCTTCGCACCGGGACGTTGACAGGCACGGGATACAACAAGATCCTGCTTGTTGGCCACTCTTACGGCTCTGTCCAAGCAACGGCCCTCGCTTCCCGCACTCCGGCAGCAGTTGACGGGATAATTGCTACCGGATTTTCAGCTTATGGGGGAGCGGTACCACTCTTCCTCGCTTCGGGCTTGTGGTCCTCCGCCGCGCAGGTCGCGCCCTACGCGTACGCCTCGCTGGCAAGCACGTACTTGCTCCCTGCTGTTCCGCAGGCTGCTCAGATGAACTTCTATTATTATCCGGGGTATGACGAGAGCGTATTCGTATACGACGCGGCAATGCCACAGCCTGTAACGGTGGGGGTAATGTTTACCTTGGAGACAGTCGCTGGTCCAGCAAGTAACTTTACAGGTCCGGTGCTGCTAGTGACGGGGGCACAGGATTTGCCATTCTGCGGAGTGAGGCCTTTTTTCTCTACTGCCGTACATGTTAAATTGATAGTGAACGTAGGGGAACTGCTACGCTCTCCAGCCTTCAAACCAGACGATCTTGCAAGAAACGGGCACGGCGCTCTTCCCCGCCAGCAAGTACAGCTACTACGCACCCCAGCTGACAGGGCATAATGTCAACTTGCACTTGTCCGCGCCGGAGACTTATGCCGCCATGATCGAGTGGGTGCTGGAGAATGGATTCTAGAATATATTTGACCGTGTGGGTATACAAACGATCAGACGATTGCATACAATTCAGTGCCCGAGTATTCCAGGAGTAATTGTACAGTTCGCGTAGTCAATTACAAGTCGTACCATGTTATATAAGCCCCAGATCTGTCAGCTGGTATAAAGGAAATGTATACGGACGGGATGGTCTCCGGGAATTCACTGACAAAGTTGCCCAAAACGCCGAGGACCCTCAGGCTGCGGTTCTGCCGTTCTGCAACGAGTCATCCGGGAGTGCGATCTGGACGAAATTCGAAAAGAGATGTGCACTAATTATCCGATCGAATACTTCGTTATATACGGAAAGAAAGTGATATTGTCATCCAGAAATAGGTGCTGACAACTCCTGAGTCGGAGAGGTGAATGGCTGTGCAATTTGCTGTTGAATGATCACGTCAGCATTTCTCTCTTACCCTGTGCACTAAATCTCCTGCTGTAACAAGCGTTCACTTCTTATTCTCTTTCCACCACCATCTATATTCTATTCCCCTTTTATCTACTGTACGCGAAGCATCAATTGTATTGTATACCACATACGTGTTACTATTCTCACGCTCACGTTTCTACAGTTTTAAACGACAAAAATATGCTAGGATCAAACGCAGGAGAGGCGATCGACCTTACCGACGACGGAGACGTCTCCTCAGTCTCTCTGCCGACGGCGTCAACGTCTACTGTACAACTGCCAACACTGCCCCATCTTACCTTTCCTGGTGGGTCGGGCACAGCGCATGCATATATTCCACATCACTCTACGCGCTCGATGCCCGCTCTCCGTCCACCACCGCGTCAGTCAAGCGTGATCGACCTCACTCGCGCCTCTCCTTCTCCTTCTCCTGTTCCTCCTCGCTCACCAATGCAAGTGCCACAAGTCCAACACATCGCCCTCTCAGCTGCCGCCGCGAGCGCGCGTCCAGCACAAGAATCGGACAAGCAGCCCATCTGTATCGGCCAACTCAAGCTCACGTGCCTCATCCTCTACCCATCACCATACATCCACTCCAGCGCCCAAACTTCAGCAGCCGCAGGGACGATGGACCTAGCCGCCGTCAAGTGGTCCTACCGCCCTCCGGTGAAAGGCATCTCGAGCAGCAGGGAGACCATCAACGTCCTCCAACCCGATTCGAAAGACTCATTCGGGGTCGTTGAACAGAAAGCAGCCAACGTCCTCGGACCGATGCTTGGCCGCGGTCTCCTCCGCGTAGACGCCAAAGTTTTCCGCACAAGCGATCCCCGGCCGACCATGCTCCCTCTGTACGTGCTCGTATTCACCCTCCCGCCTAATATCCCGGTCATTGCGGACCTGTTCCTAAAATCCAATCTCTACCTCGATAACCCGCCTGATTACTCCCCGGAAACGCATCATGGGGCGCCTCTCCGCAACCCTCATAATCCGCCTCCTGGTGGATGGGCTTCGCGGTTCCGCCAAGCACCTGGCTCGGGACTGAGCACCACACCTGTGTACCAGAGCAGTCAGAAGACTGTCGAGGTGCAGCGGAGTCAGGTAGAGGAGTTGTTTAAGACGCTGCGTGATGGGGGAGAACTGCGCGAGACCCAACCACCCCGGGAAATCGGAACAAGGCTGTACCCGCACCAAAAGCAGGCACTCACGTTCCTCTTGGAGAGGGAGGGAGAGATGGGATTGAAACTGGGGCTATTTATGGAGGTCCCTGTGGGTGGGAAGAAGCACTTTAGGTGTAGGGTCACCGGGAAAGAGTTTCCGACTCTTCCCCCCGGACCTCGAGGAGCCATATTGGCTGATGACGTGAGTGCTTCACTTGGACTTCCGACCTTATGTTGACATTATTACAGATGGGCCTGGGGAAGACTATCACTGTTGTTTCTCTAATTGCTTCTACGCTCAAGTCAGCGAAGAAATATGGATCTCTCCCCATCAAGAGCAGCGAGCTTCGTCCCGCCTTCCCCACGGCACTGGATAGCAAACTTAGACCAGCCCATTTTGCTGGAGCGGTGTGGGGGATGCCCAGCACCTCGACTTCCTCCCCCAGCTTATCTACATTCTCGAGCGCTCCGCTCGCCGAGTCATTTACTACTCTCCCATCCGGCTCCCGGAGCAAAAAGGCAGAAAAAGCGGAGAAAGCAGAAAGGAAGAAACAACAAGCAGAGCACGCGCGATTAGCGCGACTTAAAACTCGCTCGCGTGCGACGCTCATCGTCTGCCCTCTCAGTACGGTCATGAACTGGGAAGATCAGTTGCGTGAGCATTGGGGGGGCAAGGTCACTGTCTATGGTGGGGGAGGCGTCATTACTTCCGCGCCTGGGCATCAAGCTGAAATAGAGATCCCCAATGAGAGTGAGGGCGTGAGCGTGGTGCATCATCAGAGAGAAGAAGAGAAGGCGTCACTTAAGGTGTACGTCTACCATGGAAATGCCCGCCGACCGGATCCCGACTTCTTGGCAAATTTCGACGTCGTCATCACTACGTACTCGACGCTGGCCACGGAGTTTTCCAGACAACAGAAGACGGGCGCGAATCCAGAGGATAGCGATGACGAGAGTGGGAACGAATCTGGCGAAGCTGTTAGCAGTGGAATGAACAGTGCAAGCGGGACGAGCACGCCTAATGGCGGTGGAGGAGGGGCAATCCCTATCCCAAAGGGCTTTGTGGATGATTACGACAGCGATGGGATCGTCGAGGTCGATGGGGAGGGGCAGCTCCTTTCTCCTAAGGTTGGGCCGCAGGGCAAGCTGGCGGGACAGAAGAGAAAGAGGATTGGTACGCCTGGAGTGGAGATAAGTAGTCCACTCCAGCAGGTGGACTGGTTCAGGGTCGTTTTGGACGAGGCTCAGTAAGTCTGGGTGTTCAGTTTGTCATGGACCGTTTTGATACAGTGCAGTTCGATCAAGGAGACGAGCACTGTTGCCTCTCGGGCTTCTTGTGATCTCGTTGCTGAGAGGCGGATCTGCCTGACCGGTACACCAGTGCAAAACAAACTCGATGACGTGTATGCGCTGGTCAAGTTCATCCGCGTTCAGCCGTTCGACGACAAGAACTTCTGGACCGAGTGGATCGGTGGCCCTTGCAAGTTCGGTCAGCCTATCGGTGTTGCTCGCCTACAGACTATCATGAAGGTTATCACTCTCCGTAGGACCAAGGAGACAAAATCAAGTGATGGACAGAGTATCCTTGCCCTACCGCCCCGGAAGGATGAGCTACGCATGCTCCAGCTGGACGAGTATGAGAAAGGTATCTACGATCGGGTGTATAACGCAAGCAAGGAGGAGTTCGAGGCGATGTCAAAGAAAGGCGAGGTCATGAAGAACTATGTTGGCATCCTGCAACGTATCCTCCGTCTCAGGCAGATTTGCGACCACTGGCAGCTTGTGCAGGAGCGGGGCGACGTAACTGGCATGGACGACTCGGAACTTGAACCGGAAGAGCTCATCGCTGCTATCGAGAAGGAAGGTATCAATCTCGCGCGCGCAACAGCAGTATTCAACCTTCTCCGAGAAAGTGCTACTGCCACTTGTGTAGAATGCGGCTACGACCTTGCTCTTTCGGCACCGAATTCGGACGATCCGGATGCTGAACCTGAGGCACCGAAGGCGAAACGCGGACCGAAGAAGGCGCGGCCTGCCATTGGCCTGCCAGGCTTCGTTCCCCGCGTCGTCATGACGCGATGCCAGCATCTCTTCTGTTACAAGTGCTACGACAGGTCGGTGTGCCCGAACTGGCCCAAAGTGGACGCTGCCATTCGACGGCCCTGCTCGATCTGCCATCACACACTTGGTCCAAACGACGCAGTAGAGATATCGCCGTATGGGACTATGCCCAACATCGCAAGTGAAACCAACAAGCCAAAGACCACTGCTGCGAAGAGGAAGGAAAAAGCAGAGCGCCAGCTCCTGTCTGGTCAGGACGTTGCTATGTCCACCAAGATCAAGACGCTCATGAATGACCTATTGGGTTTCTCCCGATCCAATCCATTCTCGAGGAACTATGATCCTTCTGCCATTGAGATCGAGACGACTGATGCGCATGGGAATATAACTAATGAAGGCGTGGTAAAGACAATTGTATTGTGCGTGAATCCACATGTCACTGAGCCGATCGCTGATTTGGTTTAAAACAGCTCTCAATGGACTAGCATGCTGGACAAGGTTGAAGACGCGCTGGAGATGCATGGCATTCGGTTCGATCGACTGGATGGGACAATGCGGCGCGATGAGCGTACGCGGGCCATGGACGCGCTCAAGAGCGACCCGGCATGCGAAGTACTGCTCGTCAGTTTGCGTGCTGGTGGCGTCGGTCTCAACCTTACCGCCGCCCAACGTGTCTATCTCATGGACCCATACTGGAATCCCGCTGTGGAGAATCAGGCCGTGGACCGGATTGTGAGTGCTTTGATGGAGCTTTTCATCTGCAAGTGCTGATTCACATGCAGCACCGTCTCGGTCAAACTCGCCCAGTGACTACTATCAAGCTTGTTATCGAAAACACGGTGGAGGCGCGAATGCTAGAAGTTCAGAAGCGCAAGACCGCTCTCGCCAATCTCACCCTAGGTGGTTCCAATCTCACACGTGCCCAGATTGCAGAGCGTAGAATGGAAGAGCTTCGCGCTCTCTTCCGTTAACCAGTTTCTCACCCTATCTATATCCACGCATATGGCTGGCCAAAGTGGCTCTCGAACTCTTGTCCCTCACCAAATCACTGTAGCCACAAATCAAGATGCTGTACCCATACGTAGTATATTACCCCTGTTTGTTGCTAATAGAACGAAGAGTTGAGTTGTAATAAAGGAAAGCATGTGACACTATTCATACAAGAGCGTACTTTTTTTGGGGGGGAAGGACATAAGTGAATAAAGTATCATATACAGTTTTAATTTTCACCATATCTCGGGAATCTCATTCCCGTTCTCGTCAATGTTCCAATTGCCTGTCGCGGCAGCATAACCAAAGCCTTGAGGGTGGAAAGCGCTGAAACTCGTTTCTGGTGGGAATAATCCTATCTGGTCGGGCGGTAGTTGTAACGTGGCAGGATATGGGAGATACATATTGACAACCGGGTGGTCGCCACCTAAAGCCGGCTCGGTAAATTCAGGATCAGGATAAATCATGGGCAAGCCCATTATTAGTGAGAGATCTTCTGGAGGCGAGAGAGATGTTTGTTGTGGTTGATTCGGTGCACCATTCGGCCAATCATTCAGGGGCGCACCCGCCAAAGACGGGTCGGTAGAGACCTCCAAGGCCATCTCGCCACCCTCATCTACGATGGGTGCTCCTGCACCGTCCTGCAGCGCGTTGTCTCCATTGACAGTAACTTGTTCGGGGAGGACGCGCCGTTTTTGAGCAATGCGAATCATTTTCTTTAGTGTTTTCGAATATCTGGTAGCGGAAGCTACGGGAAAGGATGAGCACAGGGCACAGGACGATGACGAATGCACTTACCATTTGCCAATTCTTGTGCCAGACTGCTCACATCACTGAGGATCGCGGATAGGTCGGCTTCCTTCGGAAATAGGCGAGCCAAACGGATGAGGAAAGCAGCGGCGAAGGTGGCGGTCACGTGCGTATAATCGGGCGCTGCAAGCGGCGTCAGGACAGAGTTGACAGGCAATAGAACAGACGACGAACCGTATTTCAGGTCATCCCTGTAGGCTATTGATCGACAACAAATGTCGAGCGCGCTTTGAGCTGTTTTCATCGATTGGATGGCAAGTTTTTGTTGCCAGGTGTCAGGCGCCAGCTGTTCAACGTCTGACATGCTCTTGATACTGATTTACAGTGTAAGCCATCTGATATTCGTAGTAAATAAGCATATACTTACCCTCTTAATGCAACCGCGTTATGAAACAGCTCGCTTAGGTATCGTTGCACTAATAGACTATGTCGATAGAAGAGCTTTGAAGGCCACTTGTACGCAAGTTGTATGTCCCATCTCTCGAACCAATCATAAAACTGTCGCTCGGCATCTCGTGCGACCTCCTGCGTATCGGGTTTAACAGGGCCCTCCACCCCCATGCGCTTGTTCACCCTCTCCCGAATGATCATGAGCTCTACAGAGGAGACGAGGCGCATGTCGTCTTCGACTGAGAGCGGGTGTTCCATGATCAGCGCTGCATCTTGCACGGACTCGTCCGTCTTGATCATGAAAGGTCGACCTGTCCCGAAGGCGATTCTACCAATTGTCATAAAACATATCCTAGAACGCTAAATGGCAAGACTTACTGATGTTCGAACAAGAACAGGGTGAACCATATCCTTGAACAAACAACCAGATCGTGCTCATCCGAACCTCTGATATCCTTGAGCTTACTCCCCGATCGGATCTTCTTAAGTAGACGGGGCCAAGCCTTGTGTATCCCCAGCTCAAGCGCCATTCGTATGGCATGTCCTCCGAGGAGCCAGCCGTTTGTTGACCAGCCAGCGACCACAACTGTGCTATTTAAGCATTCGTATCACAAGAAGTGGGATCGCTTACTGCTCGCTTGCACGACCTCTCTTCGTGCCACAGGCAACCAGAGTGTGTTGCTCGAGATCATCTTGACCTCCTCCATGAGCCGCTTTGTCGTCTCGCTCTGGCCGTTGCTCGCATCCTTGATCGCAGAGGCAACCATGCATATCGCGTCCACGGAGAAGGGTGAGCGCCGATGGAGGTCCTCGTACGTGTCCAGTTCGGGCTCGAACACGGGCAGGAACTTGGAGCAGTGCTCGTAGTACCTGCACGTCGTCAGACCATAAAGGGAATTTCACACCAGCATACTCACGTCTTGAAGTAATCCTTCGCTTCTTCCTCTGAGATGATCCCTTTAGTGACGACTGCGTCCTTCAGCACGGTGATACATCATACCACAAGCACACGTACCATCCGGGTGAACATGTGGTCTCGCTGCCCTCCTTCCAACTCGTCTCCGCTTGGAAGGTCTCTCCCCACCCTCCATCTCTGCTGTCCAATCCCCACTCACACTACTCGTAGCTCTGCTCCTCCCTCCCGCAGCTCGACGCCGTTCCCGCTCTTGCTCCTGATGCTCTGCCAAACTTCGGAGCACTTCGAGGGGAGCTGTGAGCCCGGAGGTAGACAGCTCCCCCTCATTGTCAGAGGAATAGGCACTTGTAACGTTTGACGACCATGCGCCGCCAGCACTACGCGGTCTGTTCCAAGCAGGTGGGCCCATTCCATCCATGTCTACGGAAAAGTTGACGGGACCAGTATGCGGACGCGGTCGTTTGGGAGACGTGATTTCCGACAAAGGTCGGGGTGCTGCCGATAGAGGGTTGCTGGAGGAACTATTCGAGCCGGTGTGCCTCGAGAATGAATCCGTGTGAATGTTGAGAGGTGGGAGACGATCCTCTGGTGCGTTGCCTACAAGAGAGATCATAAGCGGGAGGCTATATGCGCTCTCATTGTGAGACGTACCAGTGCGAGATGGCCCTAATCTTGGTAGGGAGGGAGAGTGCTGGCTCGACCCGTCAGCCTGCGGCATAAAATTTGATTGGCTGGAGGCAACGCTCTCGCTCCTCTCCTGTCGTCGCGCCTGGTAGCGCTGCCCACCCATGGCGAGCGTTTGTGCAGCCTGCAATTCCCGCTCGGACATGTACTGTACGGGGGAGGTCATCGAGTTTGCTGATGCTTGGCTGGTACTGGAGACGGAGCCTGCCGGGCCTCCAGGTGGTGAGCCGTGCGCGGGTCCGTCGGCGGACGAAAGCCTCGGCGGTACGGATTGGTAGTGCTGGGATGATGAGCTGGGGGAGGCATGTCGTACTGGTGCAGCTGCTGCAGTCAAAGCAGCCACGGCGTTAGGACCTTTCAGGGCGCTGACGAGCTCTTCAAGAGTGCTCTGAATCGTGCCCACTTGGGACTCGAGCTTCTGTATCCGGCTACATATCCCACATCAGCGGAATCCGGAGAGATCGGCCCCGATCGGGTGCGGGGAAACGAGGTGCAAAGGAGGAAAGGACGTACTCCGCACTTTGGGCATCACCCTGCTGCTCTCGCATAGGCTTTTCAAACATGCAGGGGATGTTTGCGTGTCGACAGCGCTTGCAGGGTGGGTTGTCAGCACCTTCGCAGCGCATTTTCTGTTTGCGACAGCCATTCTGTGTCGCAATATGAGTATATGCGTTTGCAGATATAGAGGGGTGCTTACACAGGCACCTGTGAGGAGCTTCAGTACAAGAAATAAGGAGAAAGGGAGAGACGCACGTCCGACCCTGTTGACCGCCTTTCCCTTATTGGGACTCTTCTCGTCCCCATTAGCGCCCTCCTCGCGCTTTGTGACGCCCTCTGCTGGAGATGGGATGGAGGGATCAGCGCGGAACGTGTACTGATGTGCTGCGATCTCGTTCATTGTCGCTGCTGCTGCTGGGTCCTGGACTGGCATTTGTGGAGTGGGGTTGGGTGGGTTAAGAAAGGAAAGGAAGGAGGGCGTGAAGCGAGAGGAGGGAGGGGGTGGGGTGAGGGAGATGGTGGGGGGAAAGGGGTGATGGTGGGGTGGGGTGGTGATCGTATGCAGCCAAGGACGACGCGGGGTTTTGTGGTGTGTGGGGGGGATGACGCGTGTATGCTGCTAATGGGGGATGTGTGTATGCGCAGAGATGGAAGTACTGTACCAAGGGTGTGTGTATGTTGCAGGCTGGGTGCGAGCAACGAGGGAGAATGAGGGGCCACGGAAGGGTGGGAAGAAGAAGAACGCGGGGTCTCCTCTCCCTTCTCTCTTTTTCCCCCCTTCGCCGTCCCTGGCAAATACCCCGAATGGTTCGGTGAGGTCACGAGCCCTAATCACTTCACTCCCAATTATGGAAATTCCACGCTGAACGGCGTGTTATTCCACCTTGACTTCGACCTGACCAAGGAGTGATTGATGGCTAATTACATGTCACGGGGCCGTGTGGGTGATAGGACACAAGAGGGCGTTGTGGGGTAAACGGGAATGGAACAGAGTGTCAAGATTTGCTCTCTCCCACGCAACACCCACCACACACGTCAACAATTTACACAATGCACTGCCCAATACATGTGTTTGCCTTTTTCCTTCCCCTTGCCCTTCCCCCCATCGATGCACGGTCTCCATTCAATCCATCACGGCCCCGCGCGGTACGAAGGGGGCGCTCATCGGCGTGCACCCAGATCCCTGACCCCCTCCAAGCAACACATTCCATCCATTCAATTGCGGGGTTTATGCCCCTGTGCCGTTCTCCCCTCCCGCCAAGGGGGCTCACGTCAGCGACCGGTACCGTGCCAACAAATGCAACGCCTCCAAACAATATCAGCACGTGTCCTTCCACTAAATATACCTTCCTCGTGGGCACATCCCGTTTCTCCACACGCCCACGAAAGCTTCTTACATGCTAAACAGTGCCACAGATGAAATGCACAGCCGCCATATAAGGCACACCATCCGACACCCCTTTTTCCAACCCCACTTTATATATTTTTGCCAGCATTTTCGCACGACACAGTTCGATTCATTCTTGTCCTTAGGCAGTAAAATACTACCTAATCAGCTTGCTTGACTTATATGTTGTTCAGTGTTCTACAAGGAACCCACAAATTCTCCCGTCCGCTAGGATAGCCTGCATCATCGCACAAGACCTCATCTTTCACTCTTCACCATCTCTCACGCGCCGTACCAATCACATCGCGTCTATATTCTTCTTACGCATTCACCTTGGCCGTCTAGATCAAACGCCACTTATCAGCCCCGCACAGTCAGTCACCTGTCCGAGAAAACACCCACAGCTTCGGCCTGTAACCTGAGAGCGCGAGGCGCATCCATCTTCCCAATGAACAGCTCCACGATCTGCAGCTTTTCGGCTGCCGCGAACTTGGGGTCCTTTAGAAGCGCGGACAGCTCTTCAAACGTCTTGACCTGGTACGTTGCGTAGGAACCCTCAGCAGCACCGAATACCTGGATCGCTTCGTCAGTGCCCGTCCATGTCGTCGGAACCGACGCACTCACACTCAGCAACTGAGTCCACTTCCACGGTTGAATATCGTTCTGCGATCACGCCCATCCGTTATCTCTGATCTAAACGATGCCTCAAAAGGTCTTACATATGTCCTATTTGGGCCGTGGATAAACCTTTCGATCGTGTACCCGTCGTTGTTCAGCACGAAGATCTGGCCGAAAGATTAGAAGCATCAAAGACGCTAGGACGATTTTCTTACAATCGGCTTGACATTAATCCGAGCCATCGTCGACAGCTAACGGCCGCGTGAGTCGACATGTGACATGTGATGTACATCATCACGCTACGTACCTCTTGGACGGTAAGCTGCCTATAAAAAGCTACTCAGCACATGCACATGACCGAATAACTGATGATGCACGCACCAGCTACCATCACCTGTGAACAGGATGGTCCGCCGCGGCACCGGGGATTCTTCCGCAGCTACAGCAGCACCAAGTACCGCACCTCCAGCCCATCCAATGGAGCCCCAGAGAATCTACAACATCCGGTGAACTCCGGTCAGACAATGGCACATCTTGACACATACTTGAGCACCAAAGATGGCACCAGCTGGCATCCTCGTCTCCAAAACGCCAAACGCAGAAGTTCCGGTCTCGCCAATAATCACATCGTTATCCTTGAATGCTGTCGAGACCAGTGGCCACAAGCCCTCTTGCGTTATCTTACCTTTCAACGGCGCTGTGAGCAGATTGGGGAACGGGTCGTGGGGAATGCGCTGCGATGGCTTCAAAGGATGAACCTTCTCAACCAGCAGAGGCAGAATCGTCTGGAATGTCACGCCCTCGAAGCCTGGTAGATCTCATTGTTACAGGGTGATGCACTTGAAACTGCAAAACACGTACGGCCGTATTGGAACACAACATGGTCGGAATGTAGCTCCACAGTCCTCTCTCCCGGCATGCGCCATGTGAAGGAACCGGAGTTGAAGTCGCTCTATCACACAAAGCCAATTGGTAGGAGCACACAGGGGGAAAAGCTCAACTTACCTTCATCGTGCCGATGGCAAGGACGAAGTCGGCAGACTCAAATGCCTCCCTGACAGATGGCAGCTGCCGCGATTCATCAGCATGGGCTCAGGATGCGAAAGAAGCCACATACAGAAATGTCACCGACATAGACGCCGCCAAAGTTGGGATGGGTTTCAGAGATGGCTGCCTTGCCCATAGGACTCGTGAAGAAGGTCACGCCCGTCTTGTTGATCAGGCGCAAAGCGGCTTCAACAACATGGAAACGAAGGGTACAGGCGTCAATCTACTCAATTACATAAGCATTGCTCCTCGGCTTGGTTGAATCGCTCACCAGAACAACGGGTCTCTCAGCATTTTCGAAGCCTGCGCAAATTCGTTCCGCTAGGAAGTTCTCAGTTGCCTCCTTGCTTGGGTGCTCGACAATCGGCTTCAAGAGGTTGCTCAGGGGCTTTGCAGATATCTTTGCGTGAACAAGATCGGTCGCTACCATTGCACAATAAGCTAGTTCCTTTGATAAACATGTTTTGTATGCTTACGGATGGTGATGTAGCTCGGCCGAGCCTTGAGCAGCATGGTAGATAAGCACATGTCGATTTGCTCGGCGGCGTGCTCCGCCTTCATAATAATGGCATTCGAGCCAGTGATATGTTGGGCAATATGAATAAATGCGTCAAATTCTGTCATGTACATAAGAAGGAGTTGCAGGGTGTTAATTCAAGGACGTACTAGAGTCACCTAGAGTGTGGTGAAGGATAGCTTGATGTGCCTGGAGTGTGGTGGCAGGTACGCCCACAATGTGGACGACAGGAACACGCTCTGAATGTGCACCAGCTGTAGACGGAAGTCAATAGGAGCATATAGTGTGACATGTAGACTCGGCGCACCGATAGCATTCGTCGCGCTCAACTCGCCGACACCGAAGGTGGTCACTACCGCTCCAACCTTGCCCGTGACTCGAGCATATCCGTCAGCGGCGTATCCCGCGTTGAGCTCGTTGCAACAGCCAATATAGCCTTTGGAAGTAAATTAGATCTGACAACAAGAAGTGGTAGGGGATGCACGCACCGATATCGGCGTGGTCCTGGATAAGATCAAGGAATGGCATGTTGAAGTCGCCTGTTTATGCCATTAGCGATATACACAATGATCCCACACTGTACAAGCTTACCAGGCACGCCAAACACTTGCTTCACGCCGAGCTACATACATCGGTTTGTCAGTTGCTACAAGCCCCGAGGACAACGGCGTTCGGCCTACCTGGATCAATCGCTCGATGAGGTAGTCGCCGAGTTCGACCTGACCATTTTGCACCGAAGCCATGGTTGCAATGCCTTTGCGTTGGTCTACAATGGATGATTGAGGGATGAAGGGATACGGTGTAAGAAGACAGAGAGAGATGGCTTGTCAAGATGGAGCACCACAAGTATTATATACACTTTTGGGGTATGACACAATTGTCACGTTCACACTCCCCTTCCCACGAGCGGCAAACAGTCGAGACCCGCAAGTTCCTGTGCGAGGCCCAGATGCCTTTCGGGGATGAACAAATCTTTGATGTTTAACTGCTAGAATTGACAACACAAATCCCACCCATGTCGCACGGTAAGGTCGGTGGGAAGGGCGCCGCCCTCACCGGGTCACCTTATCAGGAAGTGCGCGCGGCCCGCAAGACGAAGAGCGCTTCGCAATTCTGCATCGCCACGAAGGCGTAAATTCGGATTATTTCGGGCGCCTCTTTCGGATCTATGCTGTCCTCTTGCACTGGCGGTCTAGAACGCCATGAGAAAACGGAAACTATGCTATGTACAATGTCAAACCTTTAGAAACGTACTATGAATAGCAAAAGTTGAACTAGGCCACTATTAGAAATACAGACTTGCAGCGAATACAACTGACAAAGCGTTAGTGACATCGTGTGAACAATGAAATACTCACTATCGCGCTTGATCTTGATCTGTGCCTCTTCCATCTTCTTGAAGAGGTCAGCGTCCCCGATAACTCTCGCTGCGTCTCTCACTTCTCGACACGTCTCATCAAGCCGAGTAATCACCCTGACAATGGTTCCCTCGGGGACATCGGTCAATTCTGTAATCTTTTCAAAGGGCTAGAAGAAGACGCTATCAGCTGATGTGACATGCTGACGTAACATCACTCACCATTCCACGCGCCCACTCGTATACGACCTCCATCAGACCAAATTTTAATTTACCCTCGAAATCTTCTGTTGCTACCTTGTTGGCCAATTCAACTTTCTGAACGCGCTCTGCTAGCCGGATAACCTCTGCTTTGCCTTCTTCTAGCTTGGGAGGAATAACCGGTTCGGTCTCAGTCTTTTCTTGAAAGAGGAATGCCGAGAGCAACGCGACAACCTCTTCCGGCTCGTATCTAGCCAGCGTATTCTCTAAAATTAGCTCAGTGAGGATCAGCTCACTCGCGGAGTTAATCTGTATTTCCATCAATCAGCAGACAGGTGACCTGCAGATAATTTGGGTCACCTCGCAAGCCACGCGTCCTTTCAAGAGCACGGTTGATCTCTCATCAATAAGCTTGAGATCTTTTAGAACCTGCACCCGCTGCTCGTAGTCGGGTAATAGCTCTAGGTTCTGATCGGATATTGCGAGCTTTAGACTTGCTATTTGGGCTCTGAGCATTTTTATCCCGTGGAGTGCATCGTACTGTTGAAGTAAGCGTTCCAGCATGTTCAACCCCAGGTGAATTCAACTCACGTGCCCCAAGAAGCCTTCGCATAAGACACACGCTTTACCGGATAGAAGCCGGTGCAGATTATCACGATTTCGCAGGGTATCTTGGAAATCAAGCGTGTGGAATTTCGCCCATTCCACTTCGGGTAACATATCTAGATCCTGCCACTCGAGGGCGATGGCTTGCAAGGCTTCTGCCGCATGCTTCATAGGCAAGATACGGTGTTTGTCCGCGATCTCGTCAAACTCTTCGACGACAATCCGATTGGTCACGAACTGCACATCCCCGAGTGGAGCAAGAACAAGATCGTAAACGGGGTCACAAGATGGAAGTTTGGCTGGTTCGGGCGGCCAGAGTGGTGGCACCTTCGAGGGCGGACGATCTATCGTAAAGGCATTAGTGACCAGTGATCAACTCCGTGCTGGGTCCCTACCTCTTGAACCGGTCTTCGTGTCAGGGTCTGCTAAGGCGAGAAACAAGTATTGCCTCGCGAGAGGCGATGTTGCAGGCGAACTGACTTGTAGTGGAACGGCCTTCAGCAGTATTGCAAGATTCTGGCCGAAATGCTATCATTTTCATTAGAAGGAGAATGAGTCCAGATTATGCAAAGCTTACCCCGTTTCGAAGTACCACAACGCGACCTGGACGCAAGACCTTGCTTCCCGCCGGATGTGTGGTAGCAAGTTCAATCAATCGCGAGTTGAGATAGGCGAGATCGGCGGAGATGTCGTAAAATGTTTCAATATCGGGCCTACAAACGGGGCAATCAAGCTCGGGCATTGCCTTCAACTCCTTCTCCACCTCGAGGACTTTGCGTTGCTGATCAGGTAACAGGCGCTGAGATGCGTTTTCCGAGAAACTGCGTTTGATCATTTCTTCGACACGCAATGCTTCGACACGGAGCCTAAGTTGCCTGTCAGCACATGATTAGGAAATGCGAAATGTTCGCACAAATTCAGGATCATGTTGTATGTTAGCCGGAATTGTGACTGCAGCTTGTTCGGTTGACCCAGCATCATGATATGGAGGGTGCCGACATCCGGAAGTTCATCGCCAGAAACGATAATGACTACGCCTGTGGGATCCAAACCTCGTCGACCTGCACGGCCGGACATCTGAGTATACTCGCCGGGTAGAAGTTCCCGGAAATTCCGGCCATCGTGTTTCTTGATACCCGAAAACACAACTGACCGAGCAGGCATATTCACACCCTGCGACAATGTGATCAAGCATTGTCAGAATAGAGTAAACACACGGAACCCACCATGGCGAAGGTCTCTGTTGCGAATAGAACTTTGACCAGACCCCTGGAGAAGAGAATCTCCACAACCTCCTTCACAATAGGCAGCAGACCTCCGTGATGGACGCCGATACCCCGACTGAGCAAATCTCGCATCCGCGCAATCTGGGGTAACTTCTTATCGGATCCCTTTAGCCGCGTAAGCGCCTTCTCAATAGTCACGTGTACTTCACTCTTCTCCACGGCGGAACACAGGTCGGTGTTCGACAGGGTCTGGGCGTTTTCCTCACATCGTCGTTTGGAGAACGTGAATACCACCACGGGAAGGAGGTTGATCTTCCGTAAGTGTCCCACGAGATGCACGTACAGGTTGCGGTCTTGTTGCTGGAAGGAGCGAGGTGGCATTGCGCCGCGGCCACGTGCTGGTGGTGCGGCGCCACGGGCGCCTCCTCGAGCCTGCGGGCCTCCACGACCTTGCTGGCCACCTCGCGCGTTCGCACCGCGCTGTGCCCCCCCTCTGGCCCCAACGCGTTGTACCGGTGGGAGGCCCGCGGCTTCCCGCTCCTTGTCTTGTTTCCTTCGGAGCGCCTCGCCAGCCTCCTTATAGCCCTGCGCAAGAAATTCGCCCTTCGCATCTACGATCTTGTGCATCTCCCTGCCTGCCCAGAGGTAATGCTCCAAAGGTACAGGCCGCTTAGGCGTGCTGATGACATAGATATCCTTCTTCTTAGTACGTCTGCAACGAGTGAGGAAGGGTTTCCGAGGTGGATAGTCTGACATGCTCACCCAACCCAATCGGCGAACTCCTTGGTGTTTGGCACAGTGGCAGACAGCAGAATGATGTTGACATGCTCAGGCAGCATGATAATAACTTCTTCCCAGACCACGCCCCGCTCGGCATCGTTCACATAGTGCACTTCATCGAAGATGACAAACTCGACGTCACGGATGAGATCGGCTCCCTTGTACAGCATCGAGCGCAGAATCTCGGTGGTCATGATCAAACAACTTCCTTCAGGATTGATTTGCACATCTCCCGTGAGGATACCAACTGTGGATGGATCGAACGTCTGTTTGAAGTCACGGAATTTCTGGTTGGACAATGCCTTGATCGGTGACGTGTATATAGCGCGGGTCATATGCTTTGCCGCCAGTGCAATGGCATACTCGGCCACCACTGTCTTTCCAGCACTTGTATGCGCGGCGACAAACACGCTGTCGCCCATCTCCAGATGGTACACCGCTTCCTTCTGGAAAGTGTCTAGCTCGAAAGGATATTTGCGTGCCATGTCGGGGACAAGTTCGTGGAAGTTGAGCAGTTGTTGATTGACGTCAACTACATCAGCCCAGTCCCGTTTAACTGCTGCCGTTCGCCGCGCTGGCGGGCGGTTGGGAGCCGCAGATATTCGCACACGCTGTACGAGTTCAGCAAAGGGATCATCGAGAATTGGAGGAAGCGCACGTCGACAGGGAGCAAGTCATCTATTTCGCTTTCGAGACCAACAGCTGATACAGGGGCGGCATTCTCGTTATGAAGTCCATTGTGGTTGCTCTGGTACAGCTCAGCCATTTGATGGCATTAGGTGAACCCATCAAACATACATTGACACTCTTGTCCAGTGAAGACGGGTAACCGGAATCCAATACGGAAATCTCATCTTCCTCTTCGATCTCTTCCCCTGGCAGGCGGAGTCCTCTCGTAAAGCCAGGAGGCACAGTCAACAGACCCACGCCTGAGGATACGTTAGCAGCGAGCGAAGCGCTTCGCCTGGACCTATGATAGACGTACGAGATGCCTCGTCAGCGGTTACAGTCTGAAGATTTGCCGAATCTCCCAGGATATCATCCAATCCTCCTGGGAGGAAAGGAACATAGCTTGACTTGCCTCGGACGAAGTTTGTCGTCGGTGCTGGCGCTCGTAACAGCGATGTCGACGTGAGCGCAGTGGCATGCTGCTTAGAAATGGGTATCTTACAGAGATTTAATGATACGATTTTATATAATGTCAGATAGCCGCACCTCTCGGTATCCGGTGACCCTCCCTTCTAAACCCGCACGGACGAACTCGAGGCGCGAGGGTGCTGGTGAAGGTGCGAGCGTCAACAGTGATGGTATGGATGTTTCATGCTCCCAATGTCTGAAGAATGTCAGAAGATTTCTTCTAATGTGATACGATAACACACAATTGATAAGTTGCAAGCCAATGATCTGGCAGCTTTGCCTTTGGCTGCAGTAACCTGTCCTCGAGCGCTTGATGTAGTTTCACCTTGGATGGTATCCGTCCAACTCCGAGCTCTGTCAGAAGTTCCTCCCGGGTATTGAGATTAACATGTTCAGAATCAGATGCAATTAAGATGAGCTCAGATATATCTTTTGTGAGGATTGGCTCCATCGGAATATATATTCACAAGTTGTGCAGGCTGTGAGATCAGGGATGGCCTTGGGCGATTCCTCTCGGTGCCGAAGTTATGCCGAGTAGAACCCTACTGCACTTGTTGCGTCCTTCGAACATGGGCGTGGTCTAATGGGCTGATGCTATTACCTTGATTCTCGCTGATACATCATTGTGTTGTCATCGTTTAACACATGTTCTGGATCAGGATTACAGCCACCTTTATTCGTCATGAAGAATCCCGGGGCAGATCCATGTCTGCGGTCAGAACTGCGATAATTCCTCACTAGTGTGTTTGGTGACTATGGATGCTCAACGCCGTTAATGGAGCTATTTTGTCCGGGCTCAGCCTTGATCAGAGTGAAAAGACGTCATGAGACATGGACATCTGTCTCTAGTTGCCTATATATATATATATCTGCGTCGTCGTACACTCTGCCCAGCTTGTTACTTCCCTCTTTCCTTCCCCAACTCAAGATGTCTCCCAACAACAACCAAGTTCCTTTCAAAGGTTACGCCGTGACCAACCCCAAGGCTTGGGTGAGTCCTCTGCAACGCATGCGAAGTGCTCGTTGATGATATTACAGAGCGATTTCGATGTGATCACCTTCAAACCTAAGAACTTCGAGGACACCGACGTTGAGATCGCCATCACCCACTGCGGGTAAGCAACCGGCACTCTCTCATAACCCGACGAACCTCTTACCCTGAACCAGTGTATGCGGTTCTGATCTCCACACTATCACCTCTGGATGGGGGGATATCGAACCACCTCTCATAGTTGGCCACGAGATTATCGGAAAGGCTACTAGAGTTGGCAAGGCGGTTGAAGGAATCAAAGTGGGAGACCGGGTTGGAGTTGGCGCGCAGATCGGCTCTTGCATGGACTGTGAGGCGTGCAAGACCAACAACGAGCAATATTGTCCCAAAGGGGTACGTATATGCGCATAAATACGGCCATATATTCTGAGAGTATTCCAGATTGATACCTATAATGCGGAATATCCGGATGGGGTGAAGACCATGGGCGGATACTCTACTGCCATCCGAGCCGATGAGCGATTCGTTTTCCCCATCCCCGAAGCTATCGAGTCCAAATACGCAGCATCCATGCTCTGTGCTGGGTTAACCGTCTACTCCCCTCTCATTCGCAACGGATGCGGTGCGGGAAAGAAGGTCGGCATCGTTGGCATTGGAGGTCTGGGTCATTATGCGATCTGTGCGGTTTGTTCATGAGACCCTCCTGTGCCGCCTGACATCACATCAGTGTTCGCGAAGGCGCTCGCAGCCGAAGTATACGCCTTTACTCACAGCGACAACAAGTCTGACGAGATCAAGAAAATGGGTGCGGATCATGTGGTTTTGACGGACAAGGTCAAGAGGATATGCGCATATGTTGGGTTGTGACTAATCACAGGCCTATTACAGGATGGGGAATTTGCTAAGCCTCTCGTCCAGAAGCTCCATCTTATCATCTCGACTCGTGATGTTGCGGAGGACTTTCCTATTGTCCCTTATCTCTCGATGCTCTGGGTCCAAGGTCGCCTCATTCAGGTCGGCCTCCCTGACCACCCGTTCCCTCCTATTCCTGGATTTGCCTTCACTAGCAATGTTCGTATTTTCAGTGAGACCAGACGTTCATCTTCGCTGAGAGCATGACTAGGGGTCGTTATTCGGTGGAAGCAAGATTGGTTCGAAGAAAGAAGTCTTGGATATGCTGAAGCTCGCCGTGGACAAGTCGATCAAGCCGTGGATCGAAGGTGAGTGTCCAGAATGCCTTGTAACTGGTCGTCGTCTGACGATGCTGATGGTAGAACTTCCGATGAGCAAAGCTCGTGAGGCAGTGGAAAGACTGAAGAAAAATGACGTAAGGTATCGTTTTGTGCTGACGCAGGACTTGTTGTGAATTGCATTGCGGTCGTGAGGGTTGAAGGGATGTGATAGAAATACAGCAAATGCATATATGAATGTCGACCGTCATTGTGTTCAAACAACGATGTGTGCGTCCGATCGTCCATTGAGAGAAATATGCCCAAGGAAAGAAAGAAGAGAATCAATATCGATGAGAGTCTATTGTGTTCATACACCCCGACAGAGGATGAAAGTCGTGCCAGTGCCGGCCCATACGCGTTCCAGCTCGATCGCATTGAGTTCGTCATAAGAAATGTTGCGTGGAGGCCATATCATTGAGGGGAGCCGGACATCGTGCTGATGCCCCATGCCCAGGTTGCCGTGTTCATTCCATCCCCACCCCCATACTTCAAAGGCTCCGCTCGTCTCGTGCCGGCAAAGGACAGCGACATGTTCGCTGCCACAGGCGAGGTCGAAGACACGGCGGTCTAGAGGAATCAATACCTCATTAGGCACGCGATCAAGTGGTGGAATAGGCTGGTTTTCGATTCGCCCTAGCTGTCCCTTGTCGTTGCTGCCATTGGAGCAGATGGCTTCGCGGCTACCGCTGGTCAGAACGGCATATGTTCCGTTCCAGGTGCAGCCAATGTCTTTGACATTAGTTAGTCGATCCGCGTGTCGGAGCTGTCCTCGGTCGTTTGAGCCGCAAATAGAGAGTGTGCCATCGGGAAGGAGGAGGACTGTGTGACGCTGTCCCAATGCTGCAAGGATTGGTTGTTGATGTTCGTTGTAGTTATCGTAGCTGGAAATGAAGAGCGCTGGTATTGGCTGACAGCCACGCAGAGGTGAGCGAGGATCCGGTAATGTGGAACCAAGCTGGCCATGCCGTGCAGCGCCCCAGCCTACCACGCTTCGAGATAGTCGCCCGTCTTGGGAGTCTTGATAACCGACGATGGCGAGGATGTGATTCAGCCCACAGCCGAGTTCCAGAATGCGAAGAGAGTTAGGTAACCTGTCATCACCCTGCAGGCTGTTCGCTATCGGCACTATCAAAGGAACCGAAGTTGAATCCCGCGTCGTACCAACACCAAGTTTCCCATGATTGTTTGAACCGAGGGAGATGACGACGTCGTCTGCATCTTCCCCATCGAGTCTCAACACGACAATGGTGGTTTCCCACGAAACACCTACGATGATAGGTTCGTGATTGGCCCAGGGTGTGCCGGTCAAGCCCAGATCAACCTTCCTGAAAACCGTTACGTCTTCTGGCCAGAACGGCCCGAGCTGGCCGTAGCTGTCGAGGCCGGATGCCCAAAGCTCGGCATGCTCGCTCTCGAAACCAGCAATGAGGAGCAGCGTAAAGTTGGAACCCGCAGCCATTGACCGAACATCGGCTTCCGCTGGCAGATTGATACTTGTTCCGTTGGAAGCAAGGAATCGGCAAGGAGTGAATTCGTGAGCATCATCTGTGTTTCCAATGCCTAGTTGCCCGGCAGCATTGGATCCAGCAGCGAATAGACACATGTCAGGCCGTCCTCCTCGTCAACCAAGAGCAGGGAATGCACGCTAAGGAACTGGCTAAAGGAGTGTTAAATCGGCCTGACCCTTCACACCATGGCGCAGGAGAGAAAGATTGCGAGGGACCACCGACTCAGGGCTCGATCTCACTGCGTACCGCCGGCCCCTGATTCAGTACCCTCGGCGCTCCACACTATTCCGAACATTAATTGCTTACAACCATGCGCTTTGAGGCACAATAGCGGTATTCCGGAATTGAGAATACAAGATCAACTGACTCTGTCATCCTTAATTGTACAGTATGCCGGTTTCTATGTGCAAGGGAGATACTACGTGGCAGCGCTCAGGCGCATAACGTCCTAAACAAGTTTGACATTTATGCTTCCTGCGGAGATTGTGACTGCTTCGCCTCTTCCGGTGTTGCTTCCTGCACAAGGAACGTGATCCCTGCGCTCGCTACCGCCAGGGCGCCAAGCACGAGATAAACAGCCATCCCTCCGGCTAGGCGACGATGGTTCGAAAGGGCAAATAGTGATCTGGTAATCGGATAACATCCGATCAGTTCGGCTGAACCTACAAACAGGGAGTACTCACGAGGCCATTGTAGGGCCTATCGTTCGCATCATGGCCGCGGATGTCTGGGCAGCACCGTTGACCCTTCCGAGACTTGTCCGACTAGGTGAAGACATATTGACGAGGATCATTACACAAGCAAACACTGTTCCACCCATAGACTTTAGCACAGCGATTAGACCGACGCCAATGACTGCGGCTTGAGTGTTAATCTGAGCGAGATAATGTATGGTCGGGAACAGGATAACGATGAGGATATAGAGACTCATGCAGAAACGATAGATAGGGGTGGTGCCAATCCGACGCTGAAGGTAGGGGAAGACGAAGAGGCCGATAAAGGTGGAGATCACACCAACAGAAGCGAGGACCGTTCCGATTTGAGAGGGCTAGAATTAGGTACGGATGGTCAGCGGAAGGCATGGACCCTCGATCGCGCCAGACTCACCATTAAGCCGATGCCCCCGCCCCTGAGAGGCGTGTACATCCACAAAACGAAAATGTTGTCCACACAGATAGTAATCAGTCCCAGGAGGGTATATGATAAGAGTACCATCCGGATACTTGGGATCATGAGCATTTCTCCGAGGGTGATTCCAGCCTCGATGGGAGGCTCTTCCTCCGTCTCGACAGGGAAAGTGTTCAATCCCCCGTAATCATGGCGATGTGGGTGATGATGATGCTCGTTTGCCTCTTGCACAGGATGTTTGGGAGCAACCTTACGTTTCTTTGTTGGGAGGGTCTACGAAAGAGGCAATGCATCAGAAGCAGGAATTTGTAAGAAGTCCGAGGATATCTCTCACTTCTTTCAGTACAAAAATGCCGACGAAAAGCCCAGTACTGGTAAGTGCGGCTCCAGCAATGCATGGCAATGCATACGAAAAAGTCTTGAATAATTGCACATTTCCAAAGATGTCCGGAAAGCTTTCCGCGGGTTTGCTGAGGAAACCGCCGATGATAGGCGCGATAATGGAGCCAATTGCCCAAGCCGGTGACAGGAACGAGAACGCGCGTGCCTGGTTTGTCGCATCCGTCACCTCACCCAACACACATTTCCCGACACTATTCCTTTTGTCAGACCAGAACCGACACGGAGGTGTGATAGACGTACGCGGCATTTCCGTTGAAGCCCGCAAGCAAGAATCGCACGATGATCATCCAGGCGTATACTTTCATGAATCCGAAGACGAATGTTCCTGTGATCAGCCCCGTTAACCCGATGCAGAGAACTGGTTTTCGGCCGATCTTGTCACTCAAGGCACCCCAAAAGTATGCTAGACCTTCTTTGAATACTCGTTCACTCCACAGCATACACAGGGCTCACATGTCAAAAACTGGGCGAAGGCATACGCGCTCTCCTACGAATGGAGTAAGCGTCATGCGGCATAAGAGCTAGCCAGGACGAGAGACACTCACAATCAGACCCGAGTAATAGCCCACTTCCTCTGGAGTACTAACAATGCCGGTTGCATGGACCATCTGTTCCTGTTTCAGCGGACCCCACTCTGCTCGTCGACCAACCCACTAACCTCGTTGATGAACGGGAAGATCTAACGGAAGCTCAGAAGTGACGAAAAGAAGGTGTGGAGCGGAAGTGCGTACCACCCATATTGACATTGGTTCGACCAGACGCATGAAGCACACTGCGAAGACTTGCAATTTGGGTAATGGGGTTGGATTCCGGACAGTTCTTCTGTTGGGTGTGCGGCCATTGTCGAGGAGAGGCGCAGTTTCTACGTCGCTAACTGCGGGGAGCGAACGAGAATCTTGAGCCATGGTCGTTTGGATGTGGGGTATTGACGACAGCCCAAGGAGGGAATTTGAGAGAAGGAGGGGGGTGGAGCGAACGACGGATAGGCCCTGTGGGTAAATATAGGAAGTGTGGAGAGTAAAGTCCCTTTACGGACGATACGATAGGCCAGCTGTGCCGTAGTCCAGGATTATGGTCGGTGCACGAGATATGCATGGTCCATAATGCAGAGATCATGTGGAGATAGACATTATTAACCCCACTTTCTGAGAGAGCATGATACCACTTTCCCTCCGAGGATTAATGTATGTCAACTGGATGAGTAAGAATCAACATAAGCGCCCGATATCTTCTGCATAGCCACACCATCATCGGCTTTGAATCGGACTCACCCTTTCGCCACTGTCTTCATCGCGTTGAACCCTCACATCTCCAACTTTTGGATTCTTAGTCGCCATGAGCATGATGGACGTGGATGTACAACCTCCGACACAGTTGACTGCTATTGCCTCTCCTCAGCTCGCAGATGGATTGGCTACTCTGCCTATGTTGATTCCCTTGAACGGCGCTGTCGTCAATGGAAACAGCACACTACCCACCGAGCCCCCATGCGAGACCGTCTATGTACAGAATCTCAACGAGAGCGTCACGATGAATAGTCCGTCTCTCCTCTTCATACTATCTTGTATCACACTGACGAATTGATTATAGCCCTTAAGCAGACCTTAACTAATCTTTTCAAAAATTATGGCGAGGTCTTGGACGTCGTCGCGCATCACAACCTACGAATGCGTGGACAGGCTTTTGTCAGCTTTGCCGACCCCGAGGCAGCAGCGAAGGCTGTCAAGGAGGTGGATAGATTTCCATTGTACGGAAAGCCCATGGTACCTTCTCCCCCAGAGACTCATAGTCACACAAGCTTACATCCGCACAGAAGCTCTCGTTTGCAAAGACGCGCAGTGATGCTGTTGTCCAGAAGTTGGATGGGACACATATGGAGGAGTACAAGGCAGAACGGATGGAACGAAAGAGTATGGGTGAAAGATTTGATTTGTATGCGAAACGCTGATCAGTCCATAGAGCGTGCACGCGCGGACAACCCCCTGCGGCGGAAAGCTCAAGCACGGTTGAAGGCTAGCGCCGGTGCGCTTATTCCCAGCTAACCCTGAAATAAACTACTCACCTTCTCCCAGGTGACGGGACTGCGCCTCAGGCAGGAAGGAGAATCGTTCAAATGCCGGACGAATATCTGCCGCCGAACAAAATTCTCTTCCTACAGAACCTGCCCGATTCTACCACCCTCGATCAGCTTCAAATGCTCTTCTCGCAGTATCCTGGTCTGCACGAAGTTCGTCTCGTACCAACAAAGAAGGATATTGCGTTCGTCGAGTATGTGGACGAGAATGCCGCCAGCACCGCAAAGGATGCTCTACACAATTATCGGCTGGATGGAGAGGCCAAGATGAAAGTGACTTTCGCCAGAAAGTAGAATTTTCATGTTTGTCTTGCATGTATACTAGGATTCGCCCCTGTAATGCACCTTTGGTGTGTCTACTGCTTGACTGGCGCCCGCGATCAACCCTCCCGCCGCGCTCTAGGCTGAAAATGGATACAGTGATGCACCGCATGAGCTACATGATTGTGTGTGACGTGAAAAGGTGCTGCGAAGTACTGATACAGTAAGATTACATACAGCGCATATATGCGCGTCTAAACGAACGAATGATAACGAATGAGATAGAAACCTTCAGCCTAGAGCATAACCATACTGCACATCACTCCAACCCACATAATAATGAGGCCCGGGTGAATGCCGACTTCGCGAGACGGTACGGCACGATTTGCAACCGAAGCACGCGTGGGCGAGGTGACAGTGGGTCGTGGTGTTACGGAAGGCGAAGTAGTCTTCCACAACAATGGGGCCTCCGCCGTGAGAAGGTCAAATCCTCCGTCGAGGATGTTTCCTGTTCCAGTGGAGGTGGATGATGGCGCAGTGCGTTTGGACGACACAGATGTGGACAGTGATGAGGGAAGCACGCCCGGCGCAGTGAGTGGTCGTTGCAACTCATGCTGACAAGGAGGAATGGTTGCAGATGAATGTGGGATGTATTCCAGATAACTAGTAGGTAATATTAGATTTGTTTGGCATCCAACTGCACTGCGTACTAATCGGAAGCTGGCGGAAGGTGACATGGGAGAAGGACCGCCGCGGACATATCCATTGCATCCACTGTAGCCAGTGTGCGCAATACCTAGTATTTACTGGTCAAAACGTTTCAAGCGTGCCTCATGGAACTCATAGACTGACAGTATCTCCTTGCGAAAGAACGATGTCCATCATCCCCATCTGATTGAGTAGCGGATGAGCTCCATCATCTCTCCACACCAGAGTCTCAATTGTGCAGGAAACGAGCTCTCTGTCGGATGTTGGGAAGAGTGTTTGGACAGCGCCTTGTGCGGTCTTGCATGTAAAGGCAATGAGGAAGGTCACAAGAATTAAGGAGTGCATGGTGATGTTGAGCGGTCACGGAGAGGAGAGGGAGATGGAGAAGGTAGCGCAAGGAAGTCGAGAGGAGAGGCATCCGTCTGTATGCTGATACTTGAAGCGATAGTACCCATCTTGGTGTCAGCAGCGCTGCAGATCGACATTCCTGCCAAAGAGTTTTCAGACAGGGTTTATAGCAGGGTTAGGGTTAGATGAGAACAAAAGAGCTGCGCAGAATCGGCCAAGAACAAAAAGATCTGAAGATACGGGAGCAATTAGAAGCAAGAAGTTGCGCGTCATGACCGGCGGCTTGACGTCACGGGCGCCCCGCCTCCGCTGATTCCTATACCCACCAAGACCATGCCTCGCCATCCACCCCCATTCCGAGCCGACCCGCCATATAAAGGACCGCCACCCTCCTCCTAGATTAACCCCCCAAACCGCAGCATTCAGCACAATCGACATTGAAACTCACACTTCTACATCACCACCATCGTCCAGAACATACATAATCACACGAAATGTCAGCATACGATAGGCATGTTCGAAGGGGTCATCCCAGTGAGCATCCGTCATATATGGATACTACGAACGGGCACTCACTTTACACCGCAGTCGTCACTGGAATAATCATTGCATTCGCAATCATTGAGGGTGGAATATCGACCTGGTTAATCGTGCAATATAACCGTCACGGCGGATACCTCTCCAACGCTATCCGCGATCGCACAGGGCTCACCGTGTACGCTGAACTCACGCCTGTGCAGTCTATGTCTCTAACCTTTTTGTAGCTTCACCTCGTGGTGGACGGTATTCTTCGGCCTCATTTACATGGTTCTATTCCTCCATTCAGCGGCGACGGGTTCGATCATGACCTCCGTCGCATCGCATGCGTGCGTGCAGTATGCTTTCCCATCAGTTCTCTTGTCTGAACTTCATTTCAGGGCCTGGCTCTTCATCACCTGGGTTCTATGGACTGCATGCGCAGCGAGCATCACGGCGGGCCTTGGTGGGGGAGTCAATTGCTCCAACATTGGGTATTACCTACCCTACTGTAATCATCTCGTTGCAATGGAAGCATTCGCCTGGATAGAATTGTTCGTTCATCTCCTCAACCCGTATTCTCGACATTGACCCGGTGTGCAGCATTCTAGTAACCTTTGCGCTCATCATCGTCTTCGTCAGCGCTCGTCGTGCCGTTCTCCGTGGAGATGGATGGCATGGACAGCTCATCTATGCCTGAGCTAATATACCCGCCTGTTGTTTAATGACCACCTACGAGCCCACGCCCTGAATGAGACCTTACGAGCTGTATTAAATAATACAACATCTTTCTCTCGTAATATACTGCTCTTTTCACGCTCAAGATGGTTGCTTATTCGATGACGGATTTGCAGTGATGTCTGGTCTCTTTTATGTGTTCTTTGAATAGGGCGGTGCTGTGAGAACTCATCGATAGAGATCTCTCATGGCCCGGTTTCCCGAGCGCCTCCACGCCATCTTCCATGTGTTCGGATTCACTTGACACCTCATCTTGAGCTTAACCTGTTTTGGCAATGGGCGTTCAGGGCTGATATCTTTCCGCGACTCTTGGCAAACGCCGTCTCCGTGCAGCCTTGTCTCACTGTCTGGACTTGCGAAACCCTGAGGCAATAATCTGTTAGCGCCTTGCTGTACAACGAACGCCATTGCCCAGACATTGCGCCGCATGACCCCTGCCTCAACCTGGGCATGAGTCGGGTTCAGGCACACCCCGACCTTAAATAAAGCGCCCTGCATGTATTCTCAACGTATTCAACAGCTGCTCTCTCTGCCATGCTCTGTGGTCGCACGTCTCTTTTGCTGCTTGTCATCTGGGGGTCAGCTGTTGGTGTCATTGGGCGGCCACCCCTGGCACGCAATGACGCCGAGCTCCAAGTCCGACAGGCGAGCAGCAGTGGTTCTGGAGGCGCCCCAAGCTCGGCGTCTGTTCCAACATCCTCAAGCACCTCGGCTCAGGAGACGTCAACTACGTCTACATCGTCGATTTCCACCTCAACCAGCGCATCTACGTTCACGTCTGCCTCGGCTAGTACAGCGTCCACCACGGCTCCCACGACATCGACGACCCCAACGACTGCAACGACCTCCATTCCAGGCACGAACCCACTTACAGGCTCTCTGAGTAAGTGTCCCACTTGTTCTTCTCTCTCTTCTCTTAGGGTATTTCCCGTCAGCCTCCTCTTCTGTCGCTTCTTCCGAAGCTTTTTCCCTATCTGGTAGTTCTTCTTCCCTTCAGGGCTCTTCCTCGTCTTCTTCCGTGTCGTCGGGTACGACCTCGGCCGCGAGCTCCGCGTCTTCTGCGTCATCGGCTGCCTTCTTGGCGCCTCCTCCTCAAAGCGCGGCTGGAAACCAGTCTTCTTCTTCGACTTCTCTTTCGACTTCCATAGGTACGTCCAAGGAGCGACTCCGCTTTTTCAACACTGCTCTTCCTCTCCTATCGGAGGCAGAGGCTCATTACGAGATCGCCTCCTTCAACTTCAATTTCAACTTTCTTCTGAGGAGGGTTCTCCTTGGGGCAAAATCAACGCCTTCACTCATTCCTTTCACTCTCCTCCCTCTTCCCTCCCTTTATATTCGTCCCCTTCGGTGGACTTATTTCCTTTCGTCCAGCATCTTCTCCAACGCAGACATCATCTGTGGTCGTGGGCACCAATGCTACTTCTTCCGCACCATCCACTGGTTCGTTTCTTGGCTTCTTCGACTTTGTCAGCACTTCAACGATCTAACTCTTGATCATAGCAGCGGTGGCCACCGAATTTGTCTCTCAATTCACTTCTGGCTCAATCGTTTCGAATGTCACAGTCCAGACAACCATGCTTGTTCCCGCAACTCCAAATGCTCCCCCAACCATCATCCCGGAACTTTCAGTGTTGACTTCTGGTGCATCAACCTTGACTATCACGGCGGGCTCGGTGACACTAAACGCTCTTGCTGCTACTTTGAGTGCATCTAGTACGCCGTTTGGCCTTGAGAAACGAACAGTGCTAAATTGGATTTAACCAGGTGCTCAACCCTCTGCAACGATGCCAGCAGATGCCCCTAAAATGAATGCAACTGTTCCCGCCAGTTCTAACAACATCACCTACAGTACAGGCAGTTGGACCCCCTATGACCTAACCAACTCAGGAGGCGGTTCCAACGGTTCCGGCGTCGGTTCTGGCTCGGATGGCTCGGGGGCCACACCCCTAGCATCTAACCTTGATAATCAGAACGTTCCAACCAACCTCCAGTGTCCCAGCACCGTTGCTCCACAGGACACGCGGTCAAGCACAGATCTCGGAGCTACCGTTGTCTATTCTTTCGTTGGTAAGCCATTTCCGTGGCCAAGCGTTCAATGTAAACTAACATGTCCCTAGGCACTGCGATCTTTGCACAGTTGGTTCCCCGAAATAACAGCGGTATCTATTCCGCTTGGGTCGACGACGATGTTCCACAAACATATGATGGTTATCAAATGTTCGCAACCCAACAACAGGCTTTGCCTGGCTCCCCTCCTAGCTGTCAACTCGGCTTTTCCGCAACTGGACTCACAAATACGACGCATACCATGCATATCAAGATCGTCGCCCCATCGACAGCACAGCAAAACGAAGGCGGAGGTGGAGGAACAGGGCTTACGCTTGCTGGGTTCACGTGAGCTCCCTGCTTTACCTGGACGCTGTGTACCCCCTGCTTACAGTCATATAGTACAACATCGGTCGGAAATTCCAAAGGAGGGACTTCCGCAGGTACGACAATTAAGGCCAGTTGGTTGATGGTGTTTGCTGTTCTCATGCGCACCGTGATGAGCTCAGGTCTTTAAACCCTGTGTTCCAAAATGGACTTTATTGTACACGTAGCATGCTCTCTCAGGTCAACGATTGATACATACACATTGGACGCTCCAACTACATGTCTATCGTAACGGAAATACAGGACCTCCACCACACATGGCTCAATCTAATGACTCCCAAAAGTGACCGTCTAAGCCTCCTGGCACATTCGGGTTCGAATTCTGCCGGGTAGAGCGAGGGGAACGCGGTGAGCGGGGTGAATGAGGGGACTGAGACCCACTACCGTTTGTTGCACTGCTACGCGGGGCTGGTGGAGGCGCAGGGCGCTGAGTGTCACCACCAGCAGATGTTCGACAAACTGGGCACGTCCCGTTCAGTTCGAGCCAGGGTAGGATGCATCTATAGAACAGTAAGCAAAAGGCACCAGAAACATACAATTTGCGTACTCGTCATGGAAAGAATGTGTACAAGGAAGCGCAACTGTCTTTTGCCCGACTTCGAAGTCATCCTTACACACTGCACAGTCACGATTGAGAAGATCGCTGGAGGTGGTCACGACGTGTCGGGGCAATGCATCCCTCGTCTCTTGACTTGCAGGTCGGGCCGTATGTTGGCTTCCCTCCATCAACTGAGTCATCAAAGCGTCAAGTGCCTCTTGTGTGAACACATAATCGCCAGCCCGCCCAGGCAGCCCTCCCCATTGAGAGTCATGTCCATTAAGCAGGGCGAGAATGTATTGCTGGAATGTGTCCGAAATAGCGGTAGGCGACGCTGTACGTGGGTTATTGGATGAAGGTGAGCGAGGCCGATAAGGGGAGGAAGGCGGAAGAGGAAATAGGAGACTAGGCACATATAAGCAGTGTTTCTCGCGTGGCTGAAAGCAATACCACTTACTCTCCTGGCCCCCCAGCTCCCAACCGACTTGACCCTGTGCTAATCCTCATCGTACCGGGACCAACACTGAACTGCCATTCTCTATTCGTTGTATTCCGCGGACTTGCTGCCGGGGATCTGGCACTTCTGGTTGAGTCCTGGGGTGCGAGAGCCATCTGTGAAAAGAGCAGATTGAGTAGAGCCGGCATTCCTTGTGGGTGCTCGTCATCGGGCATTACGTCTTCGTGAACAAAGGTACGAGGGTCATCGTGGGAGGCAGGATCGAGCTGATGTTTGTTCAGACGTCTGTTTACCCTGATAACGAAGACACACCTGCTCGACAAAGGATGAATGGCAGACGGAGCAGATTGGATATGGATGCATCTCTACGTGCATCTCTGACTGACATTCGTGGCAGAACCACATTCTTGAGTTGGGAGTAGAACTCATGATGGCGTCGTGAATGTTTGGGGAGAGGAGAGCTGGCGTGATTGCCGTGAGGCAAGCGAGAGGGTGTGACCAATAAAGGGTCTCTATAGGGGTAGCTGGGCTCCAGCCGGATTATGGAGTAATGATGGTCGCACCAATTCCTCCCCGGGTTATCGTAGGGAAGAAGACCGGGAGTGGTCGTTCAAGTTGAAGAGAAGTGAACAATTCAACATTCACAGCTTGCCATCTCACTCGAAATGCCTTGTCCCCAACTGATCGACGTCAGCACATCTGCTCCCGCATAGCCTGCGGAGACGTCAGCGACACTTGTCCCACACTTCTCTTGACCTCACACATCACTCTCTCGAACCAATGAAGACATATAAATATCACACAATACAACATCGGTCCCTAGCCCTAACCCTACGGAAGAGTGATCAATACTAACCTGTTGACGGGGAGGGATGGCCATGTGACGGTGAGCAACATGGTTGTTGCAGGAAAGCGAAGCATGTGGCGGATGATTATAGTGTGTCGGGTGAATAGGCCGGCCGGAAATTGGGGAAAGGTTGGATCTGAGGCATGTGCTTGCTAGTGAACGATGTGGTCTGGGCTAAATGGCAAAAATGTGGTATATTGTGCCGAGACGGCATTGGGCGAGCCAAACCGTCAATTGCTTTACTTTATTCAGTTCGACGACTCTAATGTATTTGGGTTAACAGGGGATAAAGACCGGTGGAGAAATGGTGTAAACAAGGCTGACAGCCGCACACGAGGTCAAAATCTCCCTTGGCATGCGCTCAAGGGTCTTCGCCGCAGTTAATGCAGACGTAATGCTGTGCAGCCGCCCTCCCCACACCTTCAATCAAGGCGTTGACAGTGTGTAGAAACTCTCGTCCGGACACTATGAGCAGATTGGGCGTATTCAGCAACATTCAATCAAAGATAGCACATGCTTCAACTATTCCCGCACTAGGCAACAAGGACCT